CAGCAGCAGCGGCGCCGCCTCGGGCTGCAACAAAGCAGCCCTTTTCCCCTTTTCTCCTTTTCTTTTCTTCAAAACCCTTTTTAGAGAAGACCCTTTGCCCCCGAAGACTTTCATTTTCCAATGAGACAGCAGCAAGGCCCGCAGCAGGCGGGGAGAGCTGCTGTGGCCTCGGCTGCTGCCAGCACATTAGGGTTTAGGGTTTACGATTTAGGGTTTAGGGTTTGAGGCCCGCGCGGCTGCTGCCTGCTGCTGCGCTGCGGGGCTTCTCTCGCCCCTGGGAGCTGCGGAGATATTCCCGTTGCTGCTGTTGCAGTTGCTGCAGCCCGGAGCCGGGGCCCCTCCCTTGCTGCTGCGGCAGCAGCAGCAGCAGCAGTTGCTGCTGCTGCTGCTCCCCACTTCCCCACAAGGGGCCTCCTGCAGCCAATGAGTCAGCTCTCCTCTCCAGGGAGCCCCCACAAAGGGGGGGCCCCCCCAGACCTCCTGGCAACGAGTGCTGCCTTGCCCCCAGCAGCAGCAGCAGCAGCAGTAGCAGCAGCAGCAGCAGCAGCTGGTCGGCAGAGTCCCAGCACCATGCCTCCACGATGTGAAGGGGCCCCTCGGGGGGCCCCCCGAGGCCCTGCAGAGCAGCAGGGTCCCCCCGAGACCCTTTCTGGGGGCCCCCCTTTGGGGGCCCCTCGGGAGTCTTTGGGGGCCCCCCCTGAGGATCTCCCTGAGGAGCGTGCTGCAGCACGGGAGCCCCAGGGGGGCCCCGTTGCTGCTGCTGCTGCTGCTGTAGCGAGTAGCGAGTTTGAGCTGCCGCTGCTGCTGCTGCAGCCCTCCGCCGAGGGGCCCCCCGAGGGGCCCCCGGGGCCCTTCAGCTGCCTGGGGCCCCCCCCAGTTCGGGAAAGTTGGCAAGAAGAAGTTTCTGCTTCAGTTGCTGCTGCTTTTAGAGATCTCCGCAGCAGCGTGTTTGCCAGGAGCAGCAGCAGCAGCAGCTGCACCGGTAGCAGCAGCAGCAGCTGCAGCAGGCCCTTCCGAAAGGGCCTCGGGAAGTCCATGCTGAAGACAGCAGCAGAAACTGCAGCAGCAGCAGCGGTGGCAGGCGCAGCAGCAGCAGCAGCAGATAAGGCAGCAGCAGCTCCCCTGCAGGCCAAACCCGTGGCCCCAGAAGAGGCCACGAGGGGGCCCCAGCAGCAGCAGCAAACTACAGCAGCTCAACCACCACCTGGGGGCCCCCCTGTGGGGCCCCCTGGGGGGCCCCCTGAGGGGCCCCAGGGCCCCCAGGGGGCCCCTGAGGGACCCCTGCGGCAAACAGAGCCCCGGGGGTTCCCTTCGGGGCCACCGCAGCAGCAGCTTAGCGAGGGGCCCCCCAAGGGGCCCCCCATGGGGGCCCCCAGGGGGCCCCTGCAAGGGGCCCCTCAGGAGCCTCCCGAGGCGCTGGGTAGCGCCAGGCATGAACCTGCTGCTGCTGCTGCTGCTGCTGCTGCTGCTGCTGCTGCTGCTGAGAGGGTCTCCCGGGACTGCGAGGCGCATGAGGGGGCAGCAGATCTGCAGTCGGAATTTCTGTCTGCGTATACAATTCAGCCGCAGCAGATTGCTGCTGCAGCAGAAGCAGCAGCAGCAGCAGCAGCAACTGCTGCAGCAACAGCAGCAACGAGCGAGGCCGGGGACACTGAGGATGCTGACAAAGAAACAGCAGCAAGGCAAGGCAGCGATGCTTCCTCTAACTCGTCATCAGCAGCAGCGACAGAAGCAGCAGCAGCAGCAGCAACAGCAGCAACAGCAGCAGCAGCAGCAGCAGCAGATAAGCAAGGGCCCCCAGATGAGAGCCACTGGACAGCAAGCCCAAAGAGGGCCCCCTCATTGGCAGGCTCTCCCTCTGCAGCAAGTGGGGCTAAACCCTAAACCCTCGAAAACCCTAAACCCTCGAAGACCCTAAACCATTAAAACTCAAAACCCTCGAATTCGCTAGACCCCTTCAATCCCTAGACCCTAAACCCTTTTAAACTCCAAGCCCTTCTAAACCCTACACCCGTGTAAACCCTAAACCCTTGTAAGCCCTAACAGCTTGTAAGCCTTGTAGACCCCAGTCCCTTGTAAACCGTAAACCCTCGCAAACGCTAAACCCTCAAACGCTAAACCCTCGACAACCTCAAACTGTCGAAAACGCTAAACCCTGCAAACCCTAAACCCTTGAAAGCCCAGAGCAGCAAGAAGAGAAGCAGCTGAAAGCAAAGAAGTGAAAAGATAAATAAATAAATAAATAAATAAAAAGGAGACAACTAATTAAATAAATTTAGAACAAATAAAGACAAGTCACGAAGCCGCTGCTGCTACTGCTGCTGCTGCTGCTGCTGCGGGAGCCCCAACAGCCAGCAGCTCAGC